AACTAAAGTTAAATGAAATTAATATGTTACATATTAAGTAATAATATATAATACTTTCAAAGAACAAATGAATACATCGTGGACAAATATATAATATTATAATTTTACTAGTGAACATAATTTTTTTAAATACGTATTAATAGGAAAAAAATATTAGGCTAATGTTTCGAAAGAAATGTATTATTCGAAAAAAGTTTCAGACAAAAGTTGTAAGATCGTGAGAAACATAAAATAGTAATATTATTACATTATTGAAATATTTTTTTAAACGTTATTTCGGGGTCAAGTTTAATTTTTTAAATAAAATCATATAGTCTTTTTTAACATAAATTGATTCCTTTGATTGTTGTACGTATAAAAATATTGGGATAAAATCGTCGAAAATATATAAATTTTCTAAGCGATTTTACTGAAACAGGATAAAGTATAAAACATCTCGAAAAGTATACACCTTTCGATGTTTTGCTCCCAATGCTTTTCCACTAAAAAAATTAAAATTTGGCTTAAAATAACGTTTAAAAAAATAGCTTAACAATGTAATAATATTTAAAAACTAATTTTTCGCGGAAAAAATTTGTTTTCTTTCCAGCGACTGAAAAATGTCTTTTTTTTTTAATTATAATCATGTTTTTCCAATTTTTTCATAAACTACGATTTTACGATTTATTCATAAATTTGCTTAGAATTGCAGCGCAAATCTCGAAAGTATTGCAAACGCAGATTATCCTAAACGATGTTCTTGTATTGGCATATAACTCGAAGCCACGTTCAAAGTTTAACCATCTTCGGACAAAGGACAACGGCTAAAATCAATCTTATGACTCGTACGCGATCGGACTCGACGCTCTTTCGGGGAATTTAACGCGGCTTTTTCGATATAGTATTTATCTTCTTTTTTTCTCGGTAAATATCCAGCCAGATGCGACGTTTATCGATTCACTCGAATAGTTCGCCGAGATATTATTTATACATATGTTCGTTATCAAATGTTATAATGCACCGGGTGAGAGCTTTGAGCTGTCGCGAAAAGTCTTTCGCGACACCTCGCGCGCAGCGGAAGGCCAAGCCGCTAACGTGTGCATACGCCAAGAATTTTCGGCGTTACGCAATTGCGCTATTGCACCGAGCGCGGCAAGCTTGCGTGATCCTTCACTCTTCCAAACGAAACATGACATCGCGATCGCGTTCGAGATACGATAAATAAAACCCATCGCACGTAAATCTGCACGGGAGCGTATACGTAGCGCGTAACGATTCGCACGGAGACGAGCCGGGTTTCCCGACAGACATTGTATACCACCGGGACCTTTCGTCATTCGCGCATCCACGCCAATTTATATCTGTTATTGAAGCCCGATTTACGTCGTATTTCCCGCTATTGACGCGTTACTTCGTTCGTACCTTGCATTCGATTCTGGCGCGACAGTCTTTACGATGCAAGTTCGAATTTTCATTTTTTTTTCTATCTGACTATCTTCAAACAGAGAGAAAAAGATACAGGGGGGGGGGGGGGGGGGGGTNTACTTGATTATACCGATTACAGTTGAATTAACTTGTTCTTCGATCGAAGAAATTGAAACCGGTACGATCCGGTTCGTCCTACGCGCCAATTTTCGACAGCGCAAACGTAGAGAGATCGTTTACGGGTGACCGCAACATCGAAATACGACCTCACCGCGATTACATCAATTTCCATAATATACTGAAAAAAAGAAGTGCTATCGTTCAAGTAATATTTATTTAATCCAAGTAAAATGGTTACTGCAATACTCCTTGGCAAATATTTACTAGAAGTTAAAATATAATTGATTATATGCAATACGATACTTCTTTCGTATAAATAGATATTTATTTGTATGTGTCAAAACACAATTGCTACAAGTATTATATTATAATAATATTAAAGATGCCAAAATATATATTTTTAGATATAAAATTAATATTTAAAACTGAAAAATCGAAATTTAAGACCACTTCTTTAATGGAAAAATTACATAATTCTAGCAAATATTCCCTCGAATTAGAAACATTTTATACTCACATTCAGTATTTCATTTACAAATTAAGGTATTACTGCATCGAAGTATTTACTAAAAGCTTAAAATATATTTAAAATATATTAAAAATATATATAAAATTAAAATATATCTAAATTGATAAAAATATTACTTGATTATAGAGGGTGAAAAACAATTAATTACGTTTACTTGATTATAGCACTATTTTTTTCGGTATATAAATACTATACAGCGTGTCTCAGCATAGAAACATCTAAATATCTTGGAAGTTTAAATATAGGGATCCCAAAAAAATCGAAAAAAGTCCATTAAAAAAATTCTCTACCATAGGTATTCCTCCTTCGAAATCATTCAAAATTTATACATGTCCTCTGAACATTTTTCATATTATTAAAAACAAAGGAGATATTTAGGTATTCTTTTTATGCCTGGAACATTCTATATAATTAGAACAAGTTATCATATGCTGCAGTAATATACGAGATTAAGTTCAAATAGACGCGAGAATAGGTACTGTTAGAAAGTCAAAATTTCGCCGAGGGGTTAGCGGGAGAGTGAAATTGGTAAAGAAAGTAAGTAAAATAAAAGTATATTGTGTAATCTGAAAACTTACCTTCCTCGGCGTTCAGGTCCGAGAACTTGATGCCGCCGCTGAAATGGAAAAAAAGCAGACGGCAGATGAGACAACTGGTATAATAAACACACTATCAAATGTGTGTGTGTGCGCGCGCGTGCGCGCAACGTAACGTTTATTAATTCACTTTAATCGGTAGTATCGAGACTGACTCGACGGCGATACTTATTAGTGTCGATGCATTTCGATGCCCTTAACGCATGTAGCGCTGCAGAACAGTCGAGCGCGTTGAAATCTTTTGAACGTCAATCTTTACGGAACAACTGTTAAGATGTAAAGAATAATCTTTACATCTTTGGCTGCAACATGAACTTGTTCCAGTGAAAGTGGCACGTTCTAATCTTTTCGTTCTTCGTGTAAATTTACTCAAAAAAGTATTCGTCTCTTTCTTTTATTGTTTCTTTGTACGAATATATACATAATGTGCGACTATACATTATCCGCACGACTGTATATATGTGTATACATAAAAATTTAAATTTTTTTATATTCATGCTATTATCTATGAAAGACGACAGACCCGACAAAGTTGCCAAACGGCGGGGGAAATTCTTTTTTGTAATACCTACCTCAATAACACAGTGGCAGTCTCGGGGACGCGGAACACCTGAAAAAGAAGGGGAAATACCACCGTTCTTCTATCAAATTCACAACGATAAGAGCCCCCCGAAACTAGTTCGTGTATCGTTCGCTCTCTTTTTCCTTATTAAGGAACAGGAAAGAACCGAAGAAACGCACCAGGCTTTTTCTCGCGATGTGCGTACTGACATAATCGTTTTAATCAAGCGCTTGAGATTGGCGTAATTATTAAAAAAATAAATTAATGAAAAACATCGGAAGATAACGGTTTTCGTTACGATAGCCGTTCACACTGCAAGATTCGCGAGTTCGCTTCAAGCGGCGGCTGGGCGCGAGCAGATCGCGAAGATTAAAAATACCACCTCCAGAATTCGTGTCTAGAGCTTGTCGTTTCGGGGGACTATTATGACATAATAGTTACATTATATGATACGATAAAGTACAACAATACGTCGATCACATGACCATTGAATAGCGATATAAGACGGAACGCCGCGAGTGTCGTACGTTTGGAGCGGAAAACAAATCGCTCGATGAAAAAATTCGCGACGACTCGACACGTTCTTTCTCTCTCGCGAAAATTTAATTAAGTCAAAACTCAAAAGATTGCCTACCTTCCAGCCCATGTTCTCAAAGAAGGTGCATAACCTGGCCTGGCTGGTAGTTTTGCCACCGCATGGTCCTGTAAGCATAAATGCAAATGTTACATTTATATAAGAACAAACATGAGTGAAAATATAAGGAAAAAACATAAGAATATAAACAGAAAGATTTTTAAACATATGATTTAATGAGACGAGTCAACAAATCTCTGAAATGTTTATTCACAGCATCAGTTGTTAGGCCCATTTGAGATCCAGGGACTCGTAAAGAGATCTAAAAGGTATTTTCCCGATGAAATAGTAAGCGCTAGAACGATAAAGAAGCAATATAACATTCCAAAGGGACACACTGGTTGCTTGTAGGATCGCTTGGTCGGTCTTAAGAGAACCCGAAAAGATAACTTTCCCTATGAAATAATAAACGATGGAATAGTGAAAAAATCGTACGACGTCCCAAAGGAACGAACGGATGATTGTTTATGAGCTAAAACGATTTTTCCCATTACAGAATATTAAGATACATTAAAAGGCATTAAGTAAATATTAAAAAAAAAATATACGTACAGAAAAAATATAAAAACCTTTGAAAAAAAAAAACATCAAATAGACATTAAAGGGAATATATTGCGTAAACATCAAATAGACATTAAAGGGAATATATGGCGTAAACTTGTATTTAAAATATTTGATTGCTACGAATGTTAACGTGCCATGCGTCAAATACGTCGGATTCTTTGAATTAAGTAACAATATCATATCGGGATTCTTTCCCCTTAAAGCAAGATTCGATCGGTCTAAATAATATCGACGCACGATTGATTTGATTACAAGGATAACAATCAACCACAATATATATGTTACGAAGTATATCATAAGAAGTGGATTTTATTTTGAACTAGAAAGAAATAGAGATAAAAAGACATGAAACAAATATTCGTTCCGACTACAGATCAATAAGAATATTTTAGTTTGCATTTGTGTCTCACAATAAATATACAAATACAGATTCATATTGTTCACGGTAATACGAAAACGGGTTTACAGTAACCTCATATCGTATTGGACCGCTACATTTTATAATATACGGCAATTTAAAAAAGAAAAAATCGACGATATGAAGGTACACTAAAAGGCAGATGCCAATAAAAGCCAAATTGAATGTAATTGATGCGCGTCGACACGGCTATTAACCACTCGGCGCGATGCATCACGCTCGAGAATGCAGTGACGGCATCAGTCATTAGGCCCATTTGAGACCCTGGGACTCGTAAAGGGGCTCAAAAGGAATTTTTCCGATGAAATAATAAACGGTAGAACGATAGAGAAATAATATAACATTCCAAAGGGACATATTGGTTGCTTGTAGGATCGCTTTGTTGCTCTTAAGAGAACCCGAAAGTTAACTTTTTCTATGAGATAATAAACGATGGAATAATGGAAAAATCGCACGACGCCCCAAAGGAACGAATGAATAATTGCAGGGTCACTTTATCAAATGAGACAGATGCATAGATTTTAATTAGACAGAGGATCCAGAGAACTCAGGAACTATCAGGAAGAATAGGAAAGAGGCCTCTGAATATTTCACTCCGTCACTGCGAGAACAGTATTATTAGTGTTATTAAGCGTTATTACTGGAACTACGTGCATTGTCTTTTCTCCCGACTCGGTCGATCGAAAACGTCAGCACGATCAATCGCGAATAAATTGGTCTCTTAACACATTAACGGCGGGCGATCTCGACGAAAATATGCTAGGTAGCGCGGCGGCCGCCCGCCTCGTTTTTCGGCCTAGAGCGGGCGATATTTTGTGTGATCATAAAAACTTTAAGGTACAGTCGAGCTAAATCGTAGTTACTACGACTCCCGTCTTTAAGCGGCAGTCGAGCCAAATCGTAGTTACTACGACTCCCGCCTTTAAGCGGCAGTCGAGCCAAATCGTAGTTACTACGACTCCCGCCCTTAATGTGTTAATAGTTCGTTCCGCCGGATTTATCGCAGTGATAGCGAAGTTACAGCACATGAGACCAATTACTGAATAATGCTGACGTTAAGCTCAAACTTTTTGCGGGATACGTGAAATTTCTGGAACGAACTGGGAGATTCAATCTTTTTCGAGGAATTTATAAAAGAGCCATGTTAAGTAATACGAAAGAGAAGTCGTCGCCTCGGAAATGACTGAAGTGCCGGAAAATTTTTTGGGAAAATCGATTGTGGATAACATTTCGATTATAATAAATGTGTTACCTAGATTCTTCTCTTATATTTTTGGTTCATGTATTAAATATATGTAGAAATGAGATAAAAATATAGAACAATACGTCCAAATGAGACTTTTCGACGTACAGTAGAGAAAAAAGAAAATATGCTAATTAAATAGCTTAGGAAAATTATTTCGGTCGATTAGTTTCGATTTCCTCGAAAATTCCTGTTGCGTTACATGGTGTCATTTGTCACTGATACGTCGCATCGTGCTACGTCACGAAGGACAATAAATGAATAGAACGTAAGACAGTTTGATAAACGTCCATTGATATTGTTCATGTTATCTACGCAACGCGACACGTTCTTCGACTCCCGATTTCTAAGCGCCTCTTCAGTCGATAAATGATTAGGGACGGCTTATTACAATGTGTCAGAGAAATCAAAAGAATTGTTGACAATTGCAAGTCAGACACAACACGAACTAATTGAAATTATATACAAAAATTGACCGTTGTGTAGTGTTTATGTAGTCTTTAAATGCACCACGTATTTATAGATGAATTACAATATTTTGTCCAGGAGGTTTCATGATAGGCCAATTTTCATCATGTTGTATTTGTTCAATAACATGCATGTTATTTATGATATATATTTGTTAAATAACGTGATACATATGTCCCATAATATTTAATACGAGTAGTTTATGATTATGTTCTCTTCGTTTTAGGGCTTTAGAAACCGTCCATAACGCGCTACATTACGTAACTCATAAACGTAGTCATAAACTTATCCCATATAATCAGTCCCAAAAAGGTTGCAGAACATTTTTTCATAAGTTTCGGAATGCGTCCCATGTCCAATAAGAAGGTTTATTTTTTGGTAATTCTCAGGATATATGGTTAGTCACAAAAAGGTTGCAACATTTTCTTTTTGACGAGATATTTCGACTTCAAAGGTCTTCGCACAAAAACGTCCGTAACTTATTACGTTAAGATTTTCTTTCTGCGTTGACCTTCTTACTTACTCTTAGGTATGGTTACTCATAGAAAAGTTGCAACACTTTCTTTTCGATGAGTTCCGCAACGTGTCTCGTATTCAGCAGGAAAACGTATGGTCAGTCGCAAAACGGTTGTATCACATTTTTGTACAAGTTTACAGTTTCATAATGCATCCCGTGTTCGATAAAATTTGCTGTTAAGTCATTCTCAGGAGATACATTTTCCTATTGGATATGAGATGCGTCGAGGAAACTCGTCGAAAAGAAAGCGTTATAATTTTTTGTGACTGGCCATACCTAAGAGAAAAAACTCGACATAACGTGATTCGTTACGAACTATTTTCCATGGAGGCTCTTAGAGCCGAAATACCAATACTGAACGGCAAGTTCAACGTGGGCGACCGGTAATCCACGTGGAACGGAACAAGCTAGAAAGATTGCGCGCAGTCTTGGATGTTGAACGAGCTATCAAGCGACCACGTTTGCCGCTAAATTTGGGAGTCCGATCCTCAGGAAGCTTCTCGATGTTCTCTCAACGTTACGTCGAGAGACTGGCGCGTCGAATTTCCTCGTCTATGTCACTCAACAATCGTTCATTCGCCTCGTTCGCGCGAACTGAAATTGATCACACGACTCGACGACCATTTAGTACTCACGATAGGCGAACGGAAATAGCCGGTGACTCGGCGCTTTTTTTCCTTTTCTATCACCTAACGTTCCTTTTTCTGACGCAACACCGGCCGTTTTTCTCCCGAATCACCCGGTAGAACCGCGGCCGCGGAAAGGCTCGCGCGTGTCCCCGCGTGGGATCGATCGATATCCGCGTGACTACAATAACGCGCGACGACTCGCGAAATAGGAAAGACGTAGAACGGAAGGGATGAAAGTCGCCTAACCAAGTTCCCGAGGATCTCGTTCAATCCGCTCTAATTTGGATCGCCAAGTACGTTTGATCAAATGGGAGACGGACCTGCGGTTACGGCGCGCCCGGCTGGCGCACCTGTACAATACGGCACTGCAGGCGCGACACCGACGTGCACGCTCCGCGAACCCTATTCGATCGAAGCTAATCGCAACTCTGGGAAATTATACATCGCGAGCCGCGTGACCGACCTCTAAGTCGCGCGACTCCGTCGTCGGGGTGTCCCGTTCACCTCACCCTCGCGAACTATGCACACAGGTGAGCGATCCGCCATCCCCCGCGCGGGAGCGATAAGCGCATACGAACGACAACAAACATTCCACGTACCTCCAGTCAGCACGAGTCGGTACACGCGTTTCTGATCCATCGTTGCGTGCTTCGTCGTCCACTCCCGGTTCGGCCGAATCGTACTCTTGCTCGTTGTTCTGCTCTCGCTGCTCCGCAAGCTCTCCGCGATGTCTCCGTGCCTATCCTCGATGATGCTCTTCCGGCGAAGATGGTGTGCAAACGTGCGTAAGGCGACAGTCGATACTACATGAATACCTGATGATACATCTCGAGACACTGCGCGCACAACCGCGTGCTTGAACGATGCATGAGATACTACACGACGGGGCGACGATGACGAAAGATCGCTCTCAACGAGAAACCGCGGCAAACGATACCACTCGAATCGTAGCACGATGCTAAGAATGCACGTCCGTCACGCTGCACCGTTCGGAAGCTTCTGAAGTGAGTCGCGCAGCTGGTCGCCGCTCGGCGGCCATCGTGTGGAGGGGAAAACTGCCCGAGCGCATGCGCAATGGCTCGAGGTAGGGAACAAGTTCGACATGCACGCTCGTGTACGCTCGTGTCATGCTACGCAACGTAAACGTGTCGCTCGCTCACAGCCGAAGCTAGGCACGTCATCAGTCTGATGTTGCGATAGAAAATTAGAAAATAAATCAAATATCTATGTTTCACTTTTTAACCTAAACCTTTTCTTGATTGGTCAAGCCTATCTTGAGTCTCCAACCGCGACTAGTCACAGTCCCGAACGTCTCCTGTGTCACACGTCACTTTTCGATTATGATTGGCCGGTTTATCATTGCAATTTGTCGAGATGTCCGCGCCAAATTCGAATTCTTTCTCGCGATATTTTCATATGCTATTACACATAGAATAAATACGGAAAAATACAGTTTTACAGGAGTGTGTAACATTGTTGTATGTATATCCGAAACTCACGAGGTTTTACAATCCTAAATATATTACTTATATATATATATAACATAGTTACGGATATAATAAGTAATATGCTTAGTTAACACATTCAGTTGCTGTTTATAACAGAAATAAAAAGATATAACAGAAATAAAAAGGTACATAAGAAATATAGTATAAGAAATATAGTATAATAGTTATATTACAGTTTCGTCATTTTACTGTTTTTTTATACATAACTGCACAATCAATAAATTCAATTTTTGCTATATAACTTGGAAATTAAAAATTATATAACGGATATGTTATAATAGTTATAGGGTGGTATTCATAGTCGGATCTTATATTTATCATCTTTAGATGTTTCGTAGCCATTGAAATGAACCGTACAATATTTGAAGATGAACTTAAGACGATTTTAAATATAACATAAAATATGAAGTAAGATATTTATATGTATCATTACTTGTACTTTTGAAAGAGGGTTAATTTTATATAATAACAACGTAAAAATCATTTTTACGCTATATAAAATGTGATTTAAAATTCATGTTATATACGAAGGCGGTTCAATAAGTACCCGTGTTAGACGACAGAGGGCGTTCCTGAGGGAAGTTATTGTTATCATCGTGTGCTGTCATCTATCAAACGACGGCAAAACAAATTGCAGACTGATTGATAGATTAGTTTGGATTTGGCAGCCATTCGAATAAGACGTGTTTCGTGATTTTCGCTAAGATGGAAAAAGAGCAGTATCGTTCGGTAATTCGCTTTTTGATTTTGGATGGGAAAAAATGCGAGGAGATAAAAGCAAAGTTGGATGCTGTTTATGCGAACACTTCGCCATCTATGACCACAGTTAGATATTGGTTCAACGAATTTAACCCTTTGGGGACGGAGCCGCTCGACGGGCGAGCGTCGCTGAGGACGAGAGGTATTGGAGTGCGCAGTAAAGAAAATAAATACGTTGAACGTTATAAAAACTAAGGCTCTATTTAACACAAGAAAAATTTTTCATAAACGGTAAAACGGCATGGGCGGCTATATGCCGACACTCGTCCCCAAAGGGTTAAACGTGGGCGTACATCCGTTTTTGATGAGGAGCGACCAGGACGCCCGGCAAACGTGGTTACCGAGGAAATCATTCAAAAAGTCCATGACATGATTCTCGCTGATCGACGAACGAAAGTGCGCGAAGTAGCAAAGGCCGTGTCGACCGGAACGGCAATTAATATTTTACATGATAAGTTGGCGATGAAAAAATTATCGGCCCGATGGGTGCCGCGATTGCTCACGGTGGACAACAAGCGGATGCGGCTGTTAACTTCGAAGCAGTGTTTGGAACAATTTAAGCGAGGTCCGAA